GAACTCGAACCGCAGAAGGCTGAACCACTCAGTGCAGGGCCGCTCACTTTGACGAAGCCAATCACCAGGTGCACGGCGGACAGCCGCACCCACTCAACACCTGCCACGCTGCCCGTGCAGAAGCCGAATACCTCCGACGCCAGGGCGAACCGATGGCTGGCAGCTGCAGAGCTGCTGGGCCGCACCGCTCGCTGGCGGCGTGCTGACGGCGGGCCAAGACGCCCTCGTAGTAGAACCATGGCCGGGTCGGCGACGAAGGAGATGGCAGGTCTCAGGGCAGGGGGGGGGGGGGGGCGCAGCCAAGAGCCGCTGCACACAAGTGTCAATGAGGGGTGTCCGAGCACCACCCAGTAGGAGGCAGACCACTGGCGTGCGTTCACGAGGCTGAGCAACCACCAGCCGGTAGCCCGCGCGCTTACATCGCATCCGACTCACGCAGTTCGGGGGCACAACGATGCAATTGCACTGACGAGGGCTGGCGGCTGCGGCTGCGCCGAGAAGAGCGACGCGAACTCGAACCGCAGAAGACTGAACCACTCGATGCGGGGCCGCTCACTTTGACGAAGCCAATCACCACGCGCATGGCGGAGAGCCGCACCCACTCAACACCTGCCGCGCTGCCCGCGCAGAAGCCGGATACCTTCGACGCCAGGGCGAACCGATGGCCGGCAGCTGTAGAGCTGCCAGGCCGCACCGTTCGCTGGCGGCGCGCTGACGGCGGGCCAGGGCGCCCTTGTAGAACCATGGCCGGGTCGGCGACGGAGGAAGAGAAAGGACCGCTGTTCCCTGGGCAGGTCTCAGGGCAGACGCGCGTCTGCGGCCAGCGCAATGCGACGGCGCTGTTGGGCAGGGGGGGGGGCGCAGCCAAAAGCCGCTGAGACGAATGCCAATGAGGGGGGGGGAGGCGGCGCAGCCAAAAGCCGCTGGACACATATTAAGATGGGAACACAGGGCACTCATGCACTGCACCCCTTGTCCACGGGAGGGCGAGGCTGCGCGCGGATAGGCGAAGGTGGCGCGGTTATTACAGCCACCAACCACTGCCGCCCAAAGCGGCTTCGAAAGAGGGGGAGCGCAGGAGGTGGGCCATTTCAGCCACCAGTCACTGCCGTCCAAGGCGGCTGTCCTGGACAGCGGAAGTGCAGGGCCCGGGGGGGGGCTGCATACGACCCCAGAGCCCTCGCTAGCAGCGGCCTCCGTCGAGGGAGGCAGTGGCCGAGGCCCCGCGCGGCAGACGAAGACGCCCCAGTCGGCCGCAGGGGAGGAGAAGCCTGGCAAGGTCCACGAATCCAGCGCGGGCTGTCCTCTGAGCAGCGATATGGCATTGGCGCCCCCCCACCCCGGCGGAGGTAGCACGGGGCATTGCGGCCAAGGCCGGGCGCTGCAGGTGAAACTGTCCTAGAGGGGGGGCGCGGTGAATGCCGGGCGGAGCGGGGCCGATGGGGGGTGGGAGATGGCGCGAGCTGCACACAGCAGGCTGCACGATAGGCGATACAGGAGGTGGGCCGTGGCGATCGCCAGTTCGCTGACTGCCACCGAGAGAGGCGCCGCCACGGCTGGAGCCCTCGGGGAGATGGCCAGAGCCAAGGTCGCGGGCAATCCTGAGGTGAGGGCGCCAATCACGGCGGAAGATGCTGCCGCGCTGGGGGCGGGCCACCCCCGAGCGGGCCCCTCCTTGCGCCCCCGTCATCTAGGTCAGGGGCCCCAACCTCGTGGACGCTTGTCAGCGCATCGGTCATCTCTTCTGGGAGAATAGCGCATGCCCTTTGCCTTCCAGTCCGTCTCGGCCCATGACGTACCCTGGTGCCCCCGCGAGCCCCATGACTGCCATCCACGCCACGACGAGGCTGAGCTGGATGCACCAGTCCACTAATCTGGCGGGACCGCGTGTGCCGCCCCCTTGCCCGCTGTGGTCCAAGGGGACGGGCGGCCGCTGCTGTCGGTCCTGCGAGAGGTGCGGGGCCTGGCGTCGCGTTGCAGGAGCCTGCCGTATCGGTCCTTGACACTTGACCAGACGACGTGGAGCTTGAACTCTCTGTCCATCTTGTAGGCATCAAATTCTGCTTTGCTCCATGCCTGGAGGAACTCGTTGCGCTGCTGTACGGAATTTAGCTCGGGATCAAGCTTGGCACGGTAGCTCCCTTGCCTCGCGGCTGCCCTTCGGACCCAGGCGCCCCAAACTCCGCTAGACGCACCTCCCAGCGCCTTCTGCAGACGTGAGATCTTGTCTTGTGCCGGCTCGTCCCTTGAGACGTCCGCATGGTCAACCGGGCACATATACATGGGGATGCCGCCCATGGGGTCGCCAGGGTGTTCTGCGGGTGGCTGCGTTCCTCGCGTGTCATTCCAGGAGGCCTGGGTGGCGCGCGGCTGCGGAGGGACGTCGCTTGGGGGTGGGGTGGCCAAGGGTTCCCAGACCCTGATGTTATCTTTCGCGGGTGGTCGCCGGCTTCCATCGCCATCTGCATGTCTCAGAGACCTGCTAGACCGGGCGTCGCTGAGGCTCCGGATCCGGTCACCCCTACTACGAATGTCGCCTGGGGCGTTCCTATCTCGGGCTGCCCCCCTGGAAACGGCCTGTACATATGGGGGCCAGGCTTCTGAGCGGGCCCCGTCGGGTGGCGCCCCCCAGAGCCGTGGGGGCCAGGGATCCCATTGTCATCCTCGGGGGGAGCTGTGTCACTTAGGTCGTCGTCGGGATGAATGGGGCTGACTTGCGAGCTTGAGTCCACGGAGATGTCTTGCGGACTTGAGTGCGCGTAAACGTCACACTCGGACTTCCTGCCCCCCTCGTCTCCCCAGTCAACCCCTTCCACGTCGCCTTCGCCCTTGCAAGGCCCCAGTGGGGTTTGCCCCCCTGCCTGGGGTACGGGGGGCCTGTCAGCCTCAGCAAGCTGCGGGGGTGCCCCGACGGTGCGGGTCGGGGATACTCCTTGCGCTTCTACTCGGCGGTCCACCGCGGGGGGCCCTTGCTGCTGGTGGTCCTGTTGAGCCAGTTGGCTGCTGGTGGCTCATCCCCGCCTGGGCTGCTAGCTGCCGTCGCGCGGGGCAGGGCGGCGAGGTGGGCGATGGTGCCCCTGGCCAGTGCGGTGCCTTCCAACCTTGTCAGGAAGGCCAGGAGGATGCGGAACGGCTGTCGGAAGGGGCACTGCCCCTTCTGGTCAGTAAGGTTGTCTGCATAGCGATCCCATTCTTTTTTGTACTTCTGGCTCTCGCCTGCCAGGTGTGAGACCACCCTGGCTGCTGCGGCGCGCTGCCCGCCCCATGGGACGCGCGGGGGGTGTCCGTTTGTTGGGATCGCCTCTCCATACACCGCGTCCAGGAAGGGGAGCAGTCGCTCAGTCGGCCACCTCGCCTCGTCGTTTATGTCACCTTGGATACCCTCGCCTTGTTGCTGTACATAGGTGGCCCAGCGGATGTAGACCGTGTGATTCCACTCCAACACGTACTTAACCAGGGCGTGAACTGGGCCATCAGACTCCACCCCGGCGAGCCGATGGGTGGAGAGAGTGGGCAAGAAGGGGCACTCGGGCGGACCCGCGTTGGGAAACGAGGAACTGGTGCTGCTGGGGGGCCCGCCGTCTGTTCCCGGTTGGCCGTCTGGGTTGCTGATCTCCATATCATGTAGTGTCGAACCATCCTCGAGGGGCGTAGGTCGTGAGTACGCGTCTTTCACAGACGCACTGACTCCTGCTGGGGAGAGGCGGGCGCAGATGTCGTAACTGTCTTCTGGCACCTCCGCTGTAGCCTTCCGCTTGGTGGGAGCAGGGGGGTATACCTCGGAAGAGTGGTGGTCAAGGATGTGGTCAAGGATGCCTGGCGCCACATTCCATATGTGGATGAGGCGCCTTCTGCAAGCCCATCCCGCATTCCACTGCTGCTTGGTCCACAGGGTGGGCATCATGTCCCACGGGGGTAGGCCTGTCTGCTCGTTGCACGGTGCCCCTGGCTCGGGGCGCCGCATGAAACATCCAAGAGCAGGGCGGCCAGTCTTCCACACAAGCAGTGGAGACCCGGGGGGGGGGGCATGTGTCGCACATGGCGGTGAAGGAGCTCGTGCGGTGCGAGTCTGACCCAAACCTGCCGTCAGACAGCCTGTGAGCTGGGAGGGTGGTGCCGACTTTTGTGGCTGGAACGCAGGAGGTGTGCACATGACGAGGCCCTTCAGGACAGAAGGGGTTGGCGCAGTGTTCGGTCGCCCGTACCCGATTGGTAGCCGGGCCAAGGGGGGGGAGGGTACGAGCTTTCTTGCGAAAACGAGCCTCTTCCAGTCTGCGCTTGTGCTCCTGAAGGCGCTGTTGCAGGGACTTCTTGGTGCCACCATCCATGTGAATGGGCAGGGGAACCGCGAAGCGTCAAGAATTCACTCTCCCACTCTCTCTCTCTCTCTCTTTTTCTGTCTCTCTCTCTCTCTCTCTCTCTCTCTCTGTCTCTCGTTATTGATATTTCTCTCTCTCTCTCTCACTCTCTCTCTCTCTCTCTCTCTCTCTCTATATATATATTTGTATATATATATATATCATGGTCAGAGGAAAGGCGGCAAGTAGCAGAAACGTCTCCCCCCACCGACACATCCCGTATCCATCCCAAACATCTGACATCCTTGCTATCTTTGAAGACGAGGTCCCCAGGAGTCCCGACCGTTTCCTCAAGGGCGGTTCTCCATGCCGAATCGTTTTGAAACGGTCCGAGGGCCTGGCGAGGGCCCTCGAAGCCGAGAACAACCGAAAACCTTCCGCCGCGTTCGTTTTCCACGACGCGAGCACGCCTAGGATCCTTACTGTCCTATCTCCGAAAGCGCCCGGCGATTATATATACGACCCCCCTGGGCGGGGGGGGGGGGGGGGGGTTGGCTGAGCGGGGCCCAGGGGCCCTTGGCGGAGCAAGAGAGGAAGAAGTGGGAGGGAACATCGGAAAAAAAGAAGGCCAAGGAGGAGGAGGAGGAGAAGGAGGTGGATCGAGGATCGAGAGGGCCGCGGGGAACGGGGGCGGCCAGGCGCCTCGGCCGCGCCGGCCGACGTCTGGAAGTCCTGGATGCGCGCGGGCGTCGCTCGCCCGCTCGGTCGCTCGTCCACTGTCGTGCTCTTGGTTTCGCTGGAGACTTCCTTACCCTTCATGAGCCTAAAGCTTGAAAGCTGGCAACCGTTTCACAAATGGAGGGCGGGTGGTTTTCACAGTGTGGCTTTCTCGCCTTAACGCCGCAGGCACCCGCTGTTAAAAAGTTGCACTAAAGCTTCACGGATTGAGGGTGGGTGGTTTTCAACACGTTGCTCTGGCATTAGCGCCGCGCACATTCGCCTTAAAAAAATTGCAGGAGCTTACGGGTGGAGGGCGGTCCGCTTTGAAAATGCGATTATCGCCTTAGCGCCGCGCACATTCCTCTTAGCAAATTGCAAAATGTTCAAGGGTGTAGAGCGGTTACGTTTCAACATGTGGCTCTCGCCGCAGCGCCGCGAACATTCGTCTTCAAAGCTTGCAAGAATTTTCCTGATTCCTATGGCATCACAAATTGCGCTGGCACGCTGTAGGAGTGTCGGGGCGCAGCAGTCACGTTGATTTGTGGTTTTGAAGTCCCACAAATGGTGTTTTGGCACGGTTCGGGATCCTCAGGACGCAACAGTAACGTTTCTTCGCGACGTTGACGTCCCAGAAATGGCGTTTTGGAACGCTGCAGGATTTTCACTCCAACGGGGAACTTCCCTAAGTGTATACATATATATGGGGCCTATGTGAAAAAGAATTTGGAGGCAGGGTTTATTGCAGCATCGTTGGTGATTATTGGGTTTACACAGGTCCTCCTTCTCCTCCTCCCTCCTCCACCTCCTCCTCCTCCCCCATTCCTTTTCCTCATGAGCAAATCATCCCAGTGGCACCCCGAGGCCAATCCGAAGGGCGGGCCGGGCGTTTCGCCGGAGACTTCCGTACCAGCTATGAGCCTGAAGCCTGAAAAACTGACCACAGTTTCACACATGGAGAACGGCTGGTGATCAAAGTGTGGCTCTCGCCTTAGCGCCGCTCCCATTCGCTGTGGAAATTCGCAATAGCTTGACGGGTTGAGGCTGGCTGGTATTCAGAAAGTTGTCTTCGCCTTAGCGTCGCGCACATTTGTTTTCAAAATTTGCACGAGCTTCATTGATTGAGGGCGGGTGGTTTTCAAAATGCGGTTCTCCCATTAGCGTCGCGCACATGTGTTGTCAAGAGTTTCAATGGTTGAGGGCGGGTGATTTTCAAAATGCGGCTCTCGCCTTAGCGCCGCGGACAGTCGCCGTAAAAAATTGCAAGAGCTTCACGGATCAATGGGGCTCTTTTTCAAAATGTGGTTCTCGCCTTAGCGCCGCGCACATTCGATTCAAACATTTGCCAGAGTTTCACGAATTCTCATGGTGAACGTACCAGAAACACTGTTTTGCACCGATGCAGGATGGACAGGGCGCAACAGTTACCTTAATTCGCGTTGGAAAAGTCCCAGAAACGGCGTTTTGGCACGTGTCAGGATCGTCAAAACGCAACAATCAAGATGATTCGTACCATTGGAGTCCCGAGACTGGTATGCTGACACGTTTCAGGACCTTCAAACGATTGTCCCCCGACCAGACATTGCCCTCAGTGGAACTGAACCCTTGTAGGGGCCTATGAAGGAGTCCTGACGAAGGGTGTATTCCAACATCGCTACTGAGATCGCTAATGAATCTTGGACTCATACTGGTCCTCCTCCTCCTCTTCCTGCACACCCTGCTCCTCCTCTTCCTCCTCCTCCTCCTCTTCCTCTTCCTCCTCTGTTTCGTGTTCTTACGACTTGTGGTATTATGTTTGTTTTTGCCTCCTCCTCCTCCTCCTCCTCCCCCTTCTCCACCTCCACCTCGTCCTTCACATCCGCCTCCTCCTCCTCCTTCTTCTCCTCATCCTCCTCCTCCTCTGCCTCGTCCTCCTCCATTCGTTTCCCTCATGATTCCAAAGAGAAACGCACTCAGAGTATTTATATGACATGAAAGATCCCTTTGCTATTGCTCCTAAGGTTTATTCCCCAATCAGAGCTTGCCTCTGTAGGGGTCCTAGCGGATAGCGGATTAAAGGATTACGTGAGAGGTGCGGCCGATTTCGGTGGCCGGGCTCGGGTGCCCGGGTGCCCGGGTTCGCCGCCGATTCGGTGGCCGGGCCCAAATGCCCGGGTGCCCGGGTGCCCGGGTGCCCGGGTGACGGGTGCCCGGTGCCCGGGTGGGTGCCCGCCGGGTGCCGGGTGCCCGGGTGCCCGGTGCCCTGTAGCCATCTAGCCTTATAGCCCTATATCCCTATCGCCCTATAGCCCTATAGTAACCTCATAGCCCTCTAGCCCAATAGCCCTATAGCCCTATATCCCCAAACAAATTCTGATTGGGGCTTTTCTTCGGTATCATGAAATTTGCGAGGGCTATGAAGGCCATGAAGGCTACGGTTATAACGCTAGGGCTATAGGGCTATCGGGCTATAGGCCTGTAGGGTGGTAGGGCTATCGGGCGATAGGGCTATAAGGCTATGGGGCTATGGGGCTATAAGGCTATAGGGCTATGGGGCTATAAGGCTATAGGGCTATAGGGCTATAGGGCCATAGGACTATAGGGTTATAGGGCTAAAGGGATATAGGGCTGTAGGGTTAGAGAGCTGCTGAACTACCGGGATATAGGACTATATGGGCTATAGGGCTATAGGGACTATTGCACTATTGGGCTACTGGGCTATAAGGCTATAGGGCTATAGGGCTATAGGGATGTAGGGCTATAGGGCTACAGGGCTAAAGGGCTATAGCGCTGTAAGGCTATAGGGCTGCAGAGCTATAAGGCTATACAGGCTATACTATAGGGTGAATAGGGCCATGGAGCTATAAGGCGATAGAGCACCCAGGCACCCAGGCACCTCCGGGCACTCCCCATGGGCACCTGGGCACCTGGGCACCTGGGCACCCGGGCACCCGGGCCGGCCGCCGAAATCGGCGACACACCTCACCTTACAATATGAATCCGCTAGGACCCCTACAGAAGCAAACTCTGATTCGGGAATCAAAAACTCCTCCCTGTCGCACCCGGGGGCAATCGGAAGGACGGGCCGGGCATTTCCCCGGAAACTCCCTTACCACCAACGGGCCTGAAACATCAAAACTGGCAACAGAGTCACAAATCGAGGGCGGGTGGCTCTCAACATAGCGCCGAACACACTAATGATAAAAAAGTTACACAAGAGCTTACGAGATTGGGGCCAGGTGGTTTTCAACATGTTGCTCCGCCTTAGCGCCGCGCACATTCGTTTTCAAAGCTTGCAAGAATGTCGATGATTTGTATGGTCCACAACTGGTGTTCTGGCACGATGTAGAAGTGTCAAAACGCGTCAATAACGTTGACTTGCGGCTTTGGAGTCCCAGGGATGGTGTTTTGAAACGCTTCAGGATCTGCAAACGTTTGTTTTCCAACGGGGCACTTCCTGAAAATATATCCTTGTATGTGGACGGAGGGCCTTTCCCGCCTCCTCCTCCTCCTCCTCCTCCTCCTCCTCCTCCTCATCATCATCATCATCATCATCATATCCTCCTCCTCTCCTCTTTTTCCATTATTCTTATAAACAAGCCCTCCAAGTCGCACTCCGAAGCCACTCCGAAGGGTGGGCCGGGCGTTTCGCCACTTATGAGCCGAAGGCGTAATAACTGGCAACAGATTCACACATGGAGGGCGGGTGGTTTTCAAAGCGTGGCTCTCGCGTTAACGCCGCCCGCATTCGTTTTCAAACGGTTGCACAAAAGCTTCACGGATTGAGGCTGAGTGGCTTTCAAAATTATGTTTTCGCTTTAGCGCCGCGTACACTCGTTTTCAACATTGGCAAGAGCTTCACGGATTGAGGGCGGGTGGTTTTCAAAACGTGCCTCTCCCCTGAGCACCACGAACATTCGTGTAAAATTCGCAACAGATTCTCGGAGTGAGGACGGGTCGTTTCCAAATGTGGTTCTCGCCCTGGCGCCGCGCACACTCGTTTGAAACATTGGCACGGGTTCCACTCATTCGCGTGGCTAACATACCAGAAATGGTGATGAGGAACGATTCGGACTGTCAGAGCGCAACAGTTACGTTGATTCGCGGTGTTGACCCCCCAGGAATGGTATTCCAGCACGATTCAGGATCGTCACGACGCAACCGATCAGGTTGATTTATGGCGTTGAAATCATAAGATCGGTGTTTTGGCACGCTTCAGGATCTTCAAACGGCTGTGCCCAAACGGGGCACTTCCCTCAATGGGAACGAATCATTGTAGGGACCTGTGAAGACGGAGCTTGGAGGGAGAGTAGATCCCAACATCGTTGATGAGTCTTGGGTTTCCACTGGTCCTCCTCCTCGAGCGTACCCAAGAGCATACACTGGTCTTCCTCCTCCTCCTCCTCATCACCCTCCTCTTCTGAATATTATTCTTAATCTTAATGTTATTGTAATTTCCCTGATTCGTGTTATGAGTATGTTTATAAGCATAGTATTATAATTAGTAGTAGTATTAGTATTAGTGTTATTACTAATACCATTAGTATCCATATTTTGTGATTCGTATTATCAGTAGTATGATTATTATTCTTATTAGTATTCGTATTATTATATTATTAGTACTGTTATTATTAGTTGTATTCTTATTATTTGTATTAGTATTATTATTATGATTTCTCCTCCTCCTCCTCCTTTTCCTCCTCCTGCTGCTGCTGCCCGGGAGGGGCACCCCCATAAGCGGGAGGTTGGGCCAAAAGGCCCCCTGCCTGGTGCGGGCGAGGAGCACCGGACCTTCGGGGTCCAAGCCCCCGCACACGCACCGGCCTCCAGAGGGCAAGGCGCTGGCGCACAAGGAGGACCACCTCCCCCGGCAGAACCACCAGGTCCCGATTTCTTCGCTGACCTTGACGACCCCTGGATCCAGCACACGGACGACTTCGCCGCTAACGACCTTGAACCCGTTTGTCCCGAGGCCTCCCTCAACTGGGAAGACGACTGCGTTCACCCACCAACGGGACGTAACTCTGAAAACGTCCACACCGCCGAAGAGCACACCGACGAAAGTGGTACCGCAACGCCCCACCTGGGAGAGGATCTGCGCATGGTAGGTGAAGGGTCGCAGACTGCGCCCCATGGGCCAACACCGCCGCCCCAACCCGTTGGGTTGGCCAGTGCTACTGCACACCCACCCACCCCAACGCAGCGATTCCTGCCACCAGGCATCCCCCCCGCCCCATCAAGGAACGGGGACCAAGGGCCGTAATACCACCCACCAGGGCGCTGGCAACCGAATGACCGCGGAGCATCGTACTGATCGGCAGAACTCGCTCACGCAGCACCTCACTGCGACTAGGCACCAGCGACAAGAGGACTAGTTATGAAACAACTCGCACTGCCAGCATTCAAGCCCTTGTGTGATCAGCGCGACAACCTGCTGTTCACCAGATGCAGGAACGGACAGCACCCCTGACTGACAAGATCCATTGGGCACAAAGAGGCCTGGGGGCTTACATCACGGGTTTTCCACCATGGTGCGACCAGAGAGAACACCCTCCAAAGTTATCTTCAAGCCCTCTTCGACACTCATAGGGCGTGGGGTCTGATCACCGCCGATCGTTTTTTTTTCAAGCCAGGGGCTCATTTGTCCGCTCAAAGGGGGAGGTCATCCCAGCACCCCTGTTTAGCAGGCAGCGTCTCCGCTTCGTGAGGCGGGCCCACTAAGCACATGTGGCTTAAGGGCCCGGACGGCGTTGCCGTCCGATGCGGTACGCGCTTTCTTTCTCTCTATGTCTCTCTCTCTTTCTCTCTCTTTCGATCTCTCTCCCTCCCTCCGGAAACGAGAGCGCGCACGCGCGACCTTACGCGAGCAGATTACGCGCCAATATCAGCGCAGCCGAACGCGATTTTTTTGCGTCGTTCATGTGGCGGGTGGGCAACGTGGGCCCCCAGAGTTCTGGACCTCTTCCTGGCGACCAGCTCTTCGTGCTCAGTTTCTTTTTGGCAGTATTGGGGCACGGCGAGGGCCCTCAAAGGGGGAGAAGAAGAAGAAGAAAACAAAACAAACAGAAAAAACGTGATTCGGCGCGATAGTGTCGGGGCCCCTATTCGAGTGAGGGGCAACGTTAGGGGGGGACCAGCTCATGGGCTAAGCATCAAGCTTCAATCTGCGATACATCGCCGATACATGGGCGATTGGCCTCCGATGGAGAATCCGAACGTTCCCGCGCGGGGCGGGCCATCACACCCCTATCGGCGATGAATGGGCGATAACGGGTCGACACATCCCATTCCTGAGCTTATCCCCCGCTCACGCTGCCCCCGACCTCTGGAGACCTCTTTAGGCCCTCCACGCCGGTAGCACACCAATGGAACCACCGAAATCCACACACACACACACACACACAGACAAACACACACACACACACACATACACACACCAAGTTGTGGACCAAATGAATATGAAGCAGAATGAAGAGGGGCCGAAAAGAATCACATACAGCGGTTTGAGCTCGTGACAGCAGCGGCAGCACGCACACATGCACAAGCCACGCACGGGAATTCGAAGACTACGCAATCGCTACATCACGCATAGTTTTCTACATTGGAACTGATCTGCACCAATGACACGAGGGCAAAAAAATGTGTTGGCCTCCAGTCCCCAAGAAAAGAACCAGACACGAAACTGCCTCGCATCCAGCTGAATGTGGAAACTGCACAAACTGCTGCAACTAAACCTCACGTAAAGAAACCTGCTCACGGTATATATATATATATATATATATATATATATATATATGTATATATATATATGTACATGTGTGCGTGTGTATTGTGAAAATGTTGAACCCTGGTCTCCTCGCACACCGACGTAGGTCCTCTCTCCGTCTCTCTGCACCTTCCTGAACTCCAGCTAGCCCACGAACTCCTCGCTCGTCGTCGATGTCTGCTGGTGGTCCGCAAGGCACTGGAACCTCGGCGTCGCCAGGTCTCGCCGATGCGTACACGGCGACTGCGTCTCTGATGTCCTCTTGACTTTGCGCGAAGGCGCCTCCACCTCTTCTCTTTGCTGATGCATCCTCGACAACTCCAGCTCCAAACTGATGTTCTTCTCGCAGAGCCTGACGTCATTCCTCAGGTCCCTGATCTTCTCATACAATCTGGCTAGCTCCGTCCTCTTCTGGCCCCTGATGCCATTGCCCCGGTCCTCGAAGACCACGAACAAGGACTCGAGATCCTTCGCCAGGCCCCTGGTCTTCCTCAGCTTCTCCTGCACGTCGTCGCTGTCCTGCTGCGCCTTCTCAAGCTCGCTGATATCCTCGGCTCGGTACCTGATCGCCTCAGCAAGCTTCGCTCGTTCTCCATGATCTCTGGGCGCCATTCCGCCGTTGTCATCCGCCGTGCGCGACCCCAACACGAACTGCCCCTTGTCTCGACGTCTGCGCCAGAACGTCGCACGCACCGCGCACGCGCGCACCATGATGACCACCATCAGCACGCCGATGATGACCACAACCACCATCCAAAGGTCGCCAATGGACTGCGGCTGGATCGCACACACCTCTTCCTCCGCCTTCGCCTCTGCTGCCCTCGCTGCCAGCGACGCAGCGCGAGCCACCCTTTACGCCGCCCTGGACCCTGCACGGTTACTCCTCATCTCCTTCATGATGTTTTCGGCCTGGTCGCCCCCCTCGCACTCTGCCTCGTTCGCCTCGTCGAGGTCCGCCTCCGCGTCGTCTCTCAGCCATGGCCGCCCTTCTGGCTCAGCTGCTGTCCCGCTGCGAAGGTCGCGTCGCACTTGAGCGCGCGGGTCATCCTTCTCAACGTCTCCACGGATTGCTGTCGCACTTGAAGCTTGGTCAGGCCGTCCGCCATCTGCTGAAACGCGTTGGTCCATCGCCAAATTCCACCAGACTCCTCCATATTCTCATGCACCTGCAAGATCTCGATGCCAGTCCAGCGTTCGGTCAGGCCGCCTGCTGGCGATCGCGAGTTGGCTGCGCCGCAGAGCGCCTTCGCGTCCGCGATGCGCGGACTGCGGCCCAGAACGCCCAGCATATGCTTGCCCGTCAGCTTCATCGTTGGAAAGAGCACGGTCGTCAGCATCGCTTTTGCGAACTCCAGAGCATCCACTGCGTCGGTTGCGGCTTGAGCCTCGCAAGCCAGTGAGCTGCGACAGATACGCACAAATTCTTGCTCGCCCAATCGATGATCACGAGATGAGTCAGCTCGCCGTCGTCGACCCTCTCGCCCCCGATCGCGAATACCACGTAGCCCCCTCGAGACTCACCGTTCGGCCTCGTCACCCGCAATGCATCCCAATACTCCAAGTCGTAGCAACTCCCACTTGGCCACGCATCTGATACGTGAGCCGACGTCTCCACTCGCCTTCAGGAACCGCAATGACTTGCTGGCCTCCAGCAGACTGCCCACGGTAGCCTTGATCACGTCGCCCTGCGCTAACGAAACCGTCGCCGCCGCCTGTGCCATGCACAGCGATGCCGGCCACTGCGTGGCTCCATGTAGCCCATGTAGCTGGCTGGTCCCTGTCGGCGCACATGGGTCGACTGGATGCACGCGACGAACCCTCTCGACGCTGATCGGCTTCACCTTATGGATACACTGCTCGGCCTTCACCTCGATCGCGTTCCTGGACTGGGACTGCGCATTCTCTATTCCGCAGAACACGTTGCCATTTGCAAATTCCCATTTGCCGAACTTGAAACGTCTGCTGGGGAGCTGCACTCGATCCAGGAAGGCCCCCTCGCAAGCCTGCATGTCAGCGAGGCCGGCCTCGCTCTCCAGGCCCTCGCCCCCGCCGATAAATCCGTCCACGCGCAGGCCCGGAACTCCGCCCATGACGCAGTGCCGGGCGTCGTCCGACTCCCACGCCAGGACGGGGCCGTCGCCCTTGACCGCCAGGCTGAACGATGGGAAGCAGCACTGCTGCGCGAACCCGACGTCGATCATGGCCTCCGTGATAGTATGATTCCACTGTCGTGGCGCTCGCACATCTCCGAAAGCGGGCCTGAGCATCTGGAGTATCTGGTCCTCCTTCAAAGCCATGAGCTTAGCCAACCGCCTCCTGATATCCTGCGTCGGCCTGCCGAAGATTCGAATGCCTTCCTCTCGAATGTCCTCAGATTGCAGGAATCCGCCCTCGACGTCCGCCGCTACCACTCCACGACTGGCGGCGCAGGATGAGCAGGATGAGGTACATGGTCAGCCTCGCGAGCGCGGGGCTCGCCTCGTCGACGTTCTTGCTGGCCGCCTCCTCCACGTGGAAGCCCAGCGGGATCACCCGAGCGCTCGCTCGACGAACACCATCCTCCATCTCCCACTCCAATAGGAACCTCATCGGGCAAATTTCGCCTGCCTCGGCCTCCGTCTCACTACTCTACTGCTTGCCACTCCTGGTTCTCTGTCCAAGGAAGCAGCGCATTCGCCTTCGCCTCGTCGAACTGCATTGTCTCTCGTCGTTGGTCAACCTCGCCTCCACGACAGAGTCTCGCTTCATGGTGCTCGTCAGTTAGATGGCCTCGGCGCCCTCATAGAGAAGCGCCAGCTCCTCGCTGCCCTTGCTAGTCGCAGCCTCCACGGACGTCGCCCTTGGCCTCCTGCTCACAAGTTTGAGACGCCCAGCCACCGAGCCGCGTCGATGCTCTCCACCATTCCGTCACGATCCGTCTCCTCTAACACGCGTTTCCTGTCTGCTTGGTCCGTCTCCTGGTCGTCGTTAGCCGTCGTTTCTTGCGCCGCCTCAGGCCGCGCGCCCTGGCCCTGACCGTCGTCGCAAACTTCGGCCGGAGTCGACTGCGCCGGGCCTGCGTCACCGATCTCTGCGGATGGCGACCCCGAGGCGTGCTCGGCGCTCTCGGGCTCGAACTGAGGCGCCTCGCGGATGTCCTCCTACCGGGCGCCCTCGAACCTCGCGTCGCTCTCCTGGCCGCCCGACCCCGATGGCACCTCGCCGTCGGCGTCAACGCCCTTCTCTCCCAAGTCCGCACTCGCCGGGACACGGTCGCCCATGTAGTCTTCCTTCTTGTCGACGGGCTCGCCCACGCAATCCTCACACTCGACGGGGCCTGTCACGCTCTTCGGCTCCTCCAACACCTTCTCTGCCGACGATAGAGGAAGTCCGAAATCATCGCATCATTCTTCCCGTCTGCGGCGCTCCCCGGGCAGTTCGGGTCGAAGCAACTCGCGGGCCGCCCTCAGCAACGCGTTGCCGAACACGCACCATGCCACAGCCTGCCCCAACTTGTCGGGATCTTCCGCGCATGAGACCTGCGCGACCAGCGCCGGCCCCTTCCTGCAGCTCTCGACGAGGTCACTCTCACCGTCGTCGCGCCTCCAGAAGTAGATCCACTCTCCAATCTGAAACTCCTTCGCCTGGGATCTGTCTTCGCAGCCAGCGCCGCGCGCGCCGCCCTGGACACGTCGGCCGCAAGGAACGCCCCGCCAGCGTCATTGCCCAATTCTGATAGAATTGATCGCGGCGATCTTCTAGATCACCTGCTGTAGTTGGCTCGCCCGCGAGGCCCCCCAGACCCTCTGGCTACCTGCCCAGCGCGCGCCGAGCGGGAGCGATGCCCTTCACGCCGCGCAGCCCGTTCCTCATGTCGCACGCAACTCCCACCACCATCTTCAACGGGTCGGCGGGTTGATCTCCATGAAATCGAGCGACCTGTTCGCGTCGCACCTGAGGGCCGCGGTCGAGAGGATCCTTTCGGCGACGCGCATCCCGCGGATTAAACGCCAGCTTGATCTGCCTGCCCACGCACCAGTTGCCAAACTCTACGCTCGCGCGCGCGCCGCTCTGATCTGGTCGGACCCTCGCAGGCACGCCAGCCCCCTGAATCCAATGCCTCTCGATCGCCTCGATATCCACGTTGGCCTCTTCGCCCTTCACGACTACGTCCACCTCATGCCTCGAACTTTCGCCCATGACGGTGAAGATCAGCATTCGTCTGTGGCGCCACATGATGTGGAACGCGTCGGCGTCGCTCGCGCCAGTGAGGCCTCGGCCCCGAGGGATTCTCGCAACCCTCACAGACTTGGGCCTCTGCCTCTTGAGACGCGTCTCGCAGGTGTAAATCCACGCACAGCTGATCAAGCGATCGCCCGCGTTGATCTCCGAAGGTGCTGCCGCCAGCGCTTCCAATGATGGGTCGCCCATCTGCGCGTGGATCACTCGACCCATTTGACATCGTCGATCGCGGACATCTCGAGCAGGCTCTTCCAGACCTCCCCGTGCAATCGCGTCTAGGTCATCCTCGGTCATCTCCTCCACTGCGCAGTCCGACTCGTTCCGCGGGTCGCCCAGGATGCACGCGGCAGCATGGAATGCCGCCCGCCTTGGTTGGTTCTCCACTCCTTTCATGTTCTGAGCTCCTTCCAGGATCACACGCTTTTCCTCGCAGCTGCAGCGCCTCCAGAACCCCGTGCATCTTATACTTCGCCGCTCGCACGCTCGCAGGCTTCGCGATCGGCCCGAGACGCCGACCACCCGAGCCCAGCGCCACCAGACCGTGCGCACACTGATCCGCCAACGCGTTGTAGCCCGTCATGCCAGCCCACGCGTCTGCGCTCAATGATGTCGCATATCGCGGGTGCTCCAGGTGCGCGCCCCCCTCGTGGAGTCCCTGCCCCTCATAATGTCCCTGCTGAACTGTAAGAACTATGTTTCTCTGCTTTCCTTGTTTGCGCCGTCGCCTGTCGATATCGGTTGCCCTCGCTGGCGTCGTGGGGCGCGTTGATAGCTGACCACAGCGTGCGCTGCGAAGCTGTCCACACGTCCGTTGGTCGCTGTGTCCTCAGATTGGCCATAAGCGCATCGCGGTGAGCCTGCAGTGCGAAATCCCAGCCAAGTCTGCAGCGCATGCTTCTCCGTTCTAAAACCCCTTGCCGCTGGACGCAATGAGAGATCCCTCTTCGTCCACGAAGATCTCCCCGTACTTCCGCTTCGCCACTGGTTTCTCGTCGAGGGTCCCGTTCACCTTGCTGAACCGCACCTCCGACTGCTCGGGGTCGAACTCGCTCGTAGTCTTTGCGTTCTCCACCTCGTCGCCGCAGCTGCTGGTCACGCAAAAGTCCGTCTCCTTTTCGCTCTCGACCTAGTGACCCCCGTCGGTCCGGCGTCGGCGTCGGTCGAGCTAGGCTCCTCTTTCGCTTCCAGCGCCCCCGTTGGGAAACTAAACAAGCCTATGATCATGTGGCCTTCCTTGTTGGTCTCGATGTCCTCCCAGACCTGTGGTTCGTAGTCCAAGCGCGCCACCTTCTTGTTGCGGCAGTCCACGACGATGCCCCACTCTTCCACGCAGGGCCGAGCCACCAGCAACGTCACTTGCCCATCCTCTGCACACGCTCAGTCTCGGCTGCCTCGGCCAGCTCCTGGAGGAGACCCGGCTGAGCGCATCGCCTCCACGGAGGCTAGGCTGGATGCGAGGTTTGTCAAATCCTTTCGAGCTCTTGGCCGCGGATCTGGAGCCGATTGGCTCCGCTACCAATGTCGGCAGCACACCAATGGAATCACCGAAATCCACACACGCACACATACACGAAGTTGTGGACCAAATGACAATGAATCAGAATGAAGAGGGATCGAAAATATTCCTACGTAGTTTTTATCGGCTCAGGGGCCCCTACAACGGCTTGAGTTAGCAACAGCAGTGGCAGCACGTACGCATGCACACGTCGTGCACGTGAAACTCGAACACTACGCAATCGTTACATCATGCAGAGCTTGCTACATTGGAACTGATCTGTGCCATTGGCATTCCAGAAGCCCTCCTAAGTCCCTGAGATCCGACGTCTGGAAACATATAACATCGCGACACATGTACGACCGTAACCCCAGACCCCATCTTTGCCGTTGCATCTCTCGAACCAGACCGATACGTGACAGTGCCAAGGCCGAAAAAACGAGCGAAAACGCCCGGTATGGAATGAGTGCGGCGCCAGGATCTCAAAGTCAAGTAGAGGCCTCTTGAGGCCTCCAGAGGCCCTCGCGGAGGAGGGCACTGCGCAGACCCCCTCGGAGGCCTCCGAGGGCCTCCAGCAGCAGCAGCGGCGGGGGCGGCAGCGTGGCCGACGGCGGCGCGGCGGCGTCCTTGCCGCCGGTGGCGATGGGCCTGCGCTCGGGCGGGGAGGCGGCGAGCGCGGGAGGAACGAACGAACGACCACCGCTGCGGACAAGCGTCTGGGCCTGCAGCCAAAACGTGTACTAAGGACGGGTGGTAAGGACGCAAGACCCTTGGAGGCCAAAGTTGGGATCTTTTGGGCGGCGGGTGACCAGTGAAAAAGATTAACGACGGGCCGCAGAGGCAAGGACACGAGGGTACCCTAGATGCAGGCGCGCGTCTTCACTAGGCGCGATGACTGTAGCTCGGACCAGGTGGGCGGGGAGACGACGGGGAAGAGGCGAGAGGCGGTGGGGGATAGAGGTTCGATGGAGATTTCTGATGTTTTCGTGTTCCCAACGATATTCCAGCTTCGGAGTGCTCTCCAGCAGCAGCTCCGCCTCGCCGAAAGCGGTCCAGGGGTGCCCAGATCGTCACGAACGACCGTCGGAGACCCGATTATGACCCGAAAACAGGAAGAGGCGGAGTGGGAGCAGGATGAGGAGGAGGAGGAAGAGTAGACGCTGCGACCGTCCGATCACAATCCGCGCAACACAAACAGAAGAAGGACCAGAATCAACCCAAGATGCATTCAAAATCCGCCGACCTGGCGTGTGAACTACAAGGAGCCTCAACAAGAGCTTAATCTCTGATCCTAAGCAAGAGTTTCAGCTCTGCTTGGGGGGGTCGCCGGGGTGGCTCTGCAGGGGAAGGGGGGAAGGGGGGGGGGCGGTCCCCCGTAATTATGGGGCTTTCTTCATGATCTGCGCGTCCGGAACCCCCTGGGGAAGGAGGGAATGGGTGGGAGGGGGCGGTCCCCCATCTGGCGTTTTCTTCATGATTTGCGCGTCCCCAAGATGTTTCGGGAGGTCCCAGGGACCTCCAAATCTAACCGCTACCGCCCCCAGGACCCTCCCCTCGGAACCCTCCCTGGACCCCTCCCCCGGGACCGCTCCAGGCACTCCCCCAGAGGAGGAAAAAGAGGACCGGAAGAATCGAGGAGGGAGGAGGCCACAGGGCCGCGAAGATCACCGAATCCAGCGCCCCCCGGATCGGCGGCACTGGCCGGAGGCCGGCCATTACAATACTGCAGAATACCCTCCCATCTGAAGTCCCCTCCTCAAGTCTCTGCAGGTATTCCTCTATACTGCAAGATGAGAGACCAGCACCCTGTAGGCCTGCCATGCAGACCAGAGCCCCGTTTTGAACAGGGAGTGTCTTTCATCCTTTCAGGGATTATGAAGGAATGCGAAATGAATGATCATAAAGTTCAACGACGAGACGACGACGACGCCGACGTCGCGGCGGCGGCGACGAGGGCGGCGACGACGAGAGTGGTGACGACGTCGGCGGCGACGGCGGCGGCGCGCGCGGGGCGCACGCGACGCCCACGACGCGCCGGATCTCAACGACCTTCGGCCTGTTCTCGGCCACGGCCATCGCGCGCGCGCCTCGGCGCTGGCACTGGCGCGCCGCGGTCGTCGTCTTCGCCGCCGCCGCCGCAAACGGTCGAGAATTGAGGAGCCGAGCGCTGATCCGGACAGTCTGTCCGGAGAGGTCCAATCCGGAATCCGAATCCGGAATCCGGAATCCGGAATCCGGAATTCTGGATTCTAGATTCCGAAATCCCATTCAGAATCCGGAATCCAAAATACAGAATTCAGAGTTCTGGATTATGGACTCAAAGGTCCAATCCGGAATCTGGAGTCCGAAATCCAAAATCCGGAATTCTGTATTCTGGATTCCAAGGCCCAATCCGGAATCCGGAATCCTGAATCCGGAACCCGGAATTCCGGATTCTGGACTCGAAGGTCAAATCCGGAATCCGGAATCCGGAATCCGGAATCCGGAATCCAAAATCCGGAATCCGGAATTCTGGATTCGGACATCCGAGGCCCAATCCGGAATCCGGAATCCGGAATCCGGAATCCTGTATTCTGGATTCCGAAATCCAATTCGGAATCCGGAATCCAAAATCCGGAATTCTGGGTTCTGGATTATGGACTCTGAGGTCCAATCCGGAATCCGGAATCCGGAATACTGTATTCTGGACTCCAAGGCCCAATCCGGAATTCGAAATCCGGAAACCGGAATTCTGGATTCTGGATTCGGATTCTGGATTGGACCTCTTCGTCTTGACTCTCCGGATCGCCACTCGTCGAGGTGCTCTGGGCCTTCGTGGACCACGGTGGGTCTCAAGTGGCGCCCTCGTAGCCGCGGCGCTGGCGCTGGGACCCGCCTCGGCTGTGATCAGAGCACGCCCGAGGAAGCGTGTGGAGGGGCCGTCGGCGGCCTTCCGAGTGACCTCGAGGTCTCTGGGAACCACCAGAGACCTCGGAAGGCCTCCAGACAACCCTGAAGGCGGGGGTTGCCGCCGTCGTCGTCGACGATCGGAGGATCGAGGTGAACGGTCCGAGGATCGAGATGTTTTGACTCTTATGTTCCCCAATCAGTGCTTGCTCTGAAGGGGTCCTATCGGAGATTGAAAACTTTGGCGAAAGTTCCTGGCCGATTTCGGTGGGCGGCCGGGCTCCCGGGGTTCACAGCTCCGGGTTCCCCAATTCCAGGTTGCTGGTTCCAGGCGGATTTCGGTGGGTAGCGGGGCTCCCGGGAATCGAGTTTCTGGTTCCCGCGTTCTCGGTTTGCTGGTCGAGTTCACCATCGATCTCACCATCCATTTCACTCAATCGATCTCACGATCGATCTCACTACCGATCTCACTCTCGATCTCACTATCAATGTCACCATCGCTATCACTGTCGATCACACTATTGATTACACTATCGATATCACAATCGATCTCACGATATATCTCCCGAGCGATCTCACGATCGATCTCACGATCACTCTCACTATCGGTATCAATATCGATGTCTATCGATCCAACAATCGATGTCATTCAATCGATCTCACGATATACCGATATCAATATTGATCACCCTATCGATCTCACTGTCGATCTCACTATCGATCCCACGATCGATCTCCCTCAATCGATCTCACTATCGATCCCACTATCGAACACACGATCGATCTCACGATCGAGTTCATCATCCATCCCACTCAATCGATCACATTATCGATCTCACTATCGATCTCACTATCGATCATGTTATCGATCACACTATCGGTGTCACTGTCGATCTCGTTCAGTCGACCTCACTTCCAATATCACTACCGATTTCACTGTCGATCCCACCATCGATCTCACTATCGCTAGCAGAATGTAGCATAGAAAATGGCATGGCGCGGGACGCCTCAGCGTCACAGGACACCACGGGACACCACGGGACACCACCGGACACAATCGGGAAACCATCTGGACACCATCGGGACACCATCGGGACACCACGGGGCCACTTCTGCCAACCCGGGAACAGCAACGTTTGCTTCGGCTTCGCCCTGGCGACGGCGGATTCATTCCTCTCGCCCGCCCACGCCGCTTCGCCTCGCCCGCACGCACGACACGAACGTGAATCCGAAACCGATTTCCAGGTGGGGGGGAGAGTTCCCGTTTCACTGCGATCTCACCCCCAACCTCCGATGTATAGAGAGGGGGAGAAAAAGGGGGGAGAGAGAGAGCGAGAGAGAACCAAACAGCTATGATAAAGTGCGTGTATGCATAGATGTACACATGTACAGATTTTTGAATAGGCAAATGTACCAGAACATGTAGGGAGTTATATTGGTGTATATAAATATAAAGAAAAAGAGAGAGAGCGAGAGAGAGAGAGAAGAAAATAAAGAAACATCAATATAGAGAGAGAGAGAAAGACAGCGAGAGAGGCACCCGCGAAAAAATCAAAAATCCACTGATTGGGGTTCTCTCTGTTGTACTTGTTCTTCGAAGTCGCCGTCGTCAGGGGTCGGCTGGGCGCCGCTGGGCGGAGCACAAGGAGACAGAGGAGGACGGGAGCGGAGGACACGGAGGCGGAAAGCGAGGGCAGCCCCGGCGACGACGGCCCCAGCGCTCCGAGGAGCGTCGTGAAAAATCAGGGCCGAATGTCAAGCAATGGTTGGCATTCCTCCCCGGCTTTCAAGACGTTGAAGTGTCTCGAAATGCTTCGTCTTGAAATGTCAACCAATGGTTGTCAGTCCAAGACGACGCATGATGCTTCGTCTTGGATTGTGGAAGGCACTCTGGGAGGACCGCGGGGGATTATCAGCGAATGCCAGGGCGGTCATAGCTGGCCCAGCCTGGCTCACAGGCGAATTACAAATGCCCAAACGGCTCACGTAGAGAGATCAGCGAAGCGATCCGGCCTAAGTGGGACACGCCCACTTGGCAGAGTGATCTACCCCCCCTATCCCCTTAGCTACTCCCGCAATGATCCTGGCTATTGGACAATACTACGTGGTGGACCAAATCATGATCGAACTCTTATCCTGCACTCAGTGTCTGGATCTCCGACCTCTTTACTTCGACACGACACCAGCGCCGCGGCCTCCGACCCCAGCAAGCGAAGCGCGCCCCATCCCCCGCAGCCGCCCCCGCTCCTCCTCCCCAGCAGGCAGTGCGCTTCCTCCGCCACCACCAGCCAGAGCCCCGAGCATCCCCTCCGCCCCGACCTTTGCATGCACCTGGTTGCGTAATAGATCGACTCCTAACCAGAAAGACATGACTGCCAATGTTGGACAGAGATATCGCAATACTGTTAATTATGAGCCACGTCTACATCGCAGGGCGGGGGGGAAGGCTGGGAGGGAGCATGCCACTCCTTCACAAAAAACTTGCCCCGATTTGTGGCCGCCGCGATCGCCGAGGCGACCTCCAAAACCGACCCGGAGGTTTGGTTCGACGGCGGATATCACGCAACGATCTCTTGCACCCCGTCTCGAGAGCTCCGCCCATTCAATTTCCGTGCGGGACGGCGCGCCGCCGCAACCCCACTCCACCGCAGCCTGCCCCGCTCCGCCCCCGCCGCCAGCCCTGCTCCTCCTCTGCCACCAGCCCGCGCCCGCTTTGCCCCGACCCTTTGCCGCACGGTGCGTCACTGCACCGCCGCCCAGGTCCACCGCCGCACTTCATTCTGCGATGACTACGGGGGGTAATGAGGGGATAGGGGGTTATAAAGGGATGCCAAGGTGGTTATACCTGGCCCAAACCTAGGGGGGTTAGGTGACTCAGCCAGCGGAGCCCACTTAGCCCAGATCGATACCCCTCTTAGCCACTTGGGGCATTTGTATCTCACCTATAGACCAAGCTGGGCCAGATATAACCCCCCTTCTTCCCTTAGCACCCCCGGCGGTCATCTCAGTCCGTTCCCCGCAACCAGCTCCGCTCTCCCCCAGCACCCGCGCCCCCATCGCTCCGACACCCCGAGCTGTTGCACGGCACGATGCACGGCATCGCAGACCAGCTGCAACGCGGCCGGGGATCCCCATTGCTGGATCCCCTCCATTGTTGCAGGAGCCATGGAAGACGTGCCACTTGAGCGAAAAAAAAACGGGTCTTACTCGGGATGACACGGCGATCTTACGCCGCGACTTACGCGGATTGGAAGCGAGGGCGCTTACGCGCGGCCTTACACTGACAGCTTACGCACAAATGCCGGTGCGGCCGACCCCGTTTTCATGCGTCGCTCATGTGCTTTCGTCGAATTATAGAATGGGGACCATGCTCCGTCTGCACTTCGTCGAGACGACGAGATGGCGGACCACGTTCTGTGGCTCAAAGCGTCGGCGTTCGGAGGCCCGATTTCGGGCCCCAGGTCCGTCAACAAAAAGAACGAGGTGGAAAACATGGGCCCAGCAAAGGTCGAGAGATCTGGGGCCCGCACACAGGGGGGGGGGGGGGGAAACGAACAAAAAACAAACAAACAAAAAACGAGGGTCGGGGATCTCAGCTGGCTTCGCCCTCAGCACGACGGCGTTATTGGCACGGAAGACTCGTGTCGTCACGACCCTGGCGCTGGTTTCTACCACCGCGTGGATCGCTCAACCTTGAACGATCCGTGCCTTCTCGATCGCCAGGTCGTTCCATCTTGGCCGATTCTGGGCCACTGGCTGCGTTCAACATGGAACGCCCGCGCTGGGTTCGTAGTCGCATCGACACGACACGAACCCTTTAACCCGATGACGCGAGCCGCGCTTGTCCTGTGCGGCGTGCGGAAAAACAGACGTGAAACACCAGAGGGAAGAGGAGGAGGAAGAGGAGGAGACGAGGGCAGAGGAGGAGGAGGTGGAGGAGGTGGAGGAGGAGGAGGAGGAGGAGGAGGAGGAGAGAGGATGGCAGAAGAGGAGGAAAAGGAGGAGGAGGAGGAGACGAGGCACAATGCTCTAGGGCAGCCGACGGCCAACCTGCAGTGGGAGAGCCAGTCCGCGCCGACGGCATGAAGGGAACGGGGCGAACGAGTATGGATAACCTCCACTAGGCGTCGACACGACGCGAACCTACCACAGCCATGCCTCTCGGTTCCCGCCCCGGTCGCCTCCCTCCGGCGGGGGCCAG